GATGGAGGAGCTTTGGGATTTCATTTACACAAGTGCTGCTGTGCTGGGCAGACTCTAAATGGCAGCAGGAAAACAAGGCAAGGATGCACCCAGCCCTCTGCGGCACAGGGAGTCACCCTCAGATAGAAGGAAGGAAAAAGGTGAGACAATGCATGGGGCAGGATACACGGCTGAAGCGCCGGCCACTGCACAGCACCGCCTTCCAGCCACAGAGCTGGGTCCCCTCGAGTGGCACAGTTCATAGTCGCTGCTCATTGGCAGCCTCTTAAATAAAATAACTTTCCATGTGTAAAAGCATGTTCTGCAGGAGGGAACCCATGTTCCGAGCTCCTCCAGGGTCGGTCACCCCGTGCTGTGTGCCAGGCAAGGGCTCAGCACAGGGCCTGCAGTGCCCCATTCCAAAAGCCTCCCTGCCAGGCACCCAGTTTGGGCTCCAGCACCCCGCACTTGCAAACACTTCCTCTCCTTCTCCACAGACGCTGCCTCAGCTGCATGACACCCCCCAAGGCCCCGGGCACATGAAGCTCCGGCCCTGCGAGCACACGCAACCCCCCGGGCTCTGCGTGAGCCAAGGGCTCTCGGTTCCCCAGCCACCTCTCCAGGGACGCTGGCACAGCTCCGCTCACTGGAGACTCGACTAACGAGGGTGACGAGTCCCTGAGCCACGGACACAGGGACAGGGCTGCAGCGCTCACAAAGCCTCGATGGTGGCCGAGCCTCCGGCTGCCTGCTCGCCTTGCTTCCCTGCGCAGCGACTCAGCGCACCGCACGCAAACACAGCCAGGAAAAAATAACGGGCAATTTCTCATGAGTTCAGCACAGCAGCAAGGAAGCGCAGCAGGCTCCCTCCGTGCGAGGGGAACTTTTGTGACCCTGAGAGGGTACGGGCCCTGCCCCGGGGCGGGTTCTGGGCTGGCACAACCTCCAGCTCCCCTCCCACCTCACGCTGGCCGTCCTGCTCTGGGCTCTCCAGCAGACTACCAGGGAGCTACCCAGGTAACCGCCGAGGCATCGCCAGAAGGTCCGTACAGGCCTCGGGTACACACGCTGTTCTACAAACACGAGCACACGGAGCTAAAGGTTGTTTTCACGCTCGGGGCAGTTGGCAAAGGATAAACCCATTGTTCAGCTCCGAACACAATCTTGGCTCTTTGGCTGGGCAAGGCCACAATAAAGAGTCAGCAGTAGCTAATTAGCCTCATGAAGCTGTTCATTAAACAGAGACAAGCACACAGGGACTGTAGCAATACAAGGCACCAAGTGGAGCAGGCATCTGCTCGCATGCGGCCCCAGGGCTTCTCCTCCGCACGGGGCAAGGGAGCCCCCCGGCCCCTTGGCCACTCTCTGCCCCTGTGCTGGACAGGGACACACATCCGGGCTGCAGCTGCTCCTAGGAGTTTCCATGGCAACTTCCACTCACAGAATCCCTCAATATTGTGCTTTTCCACTTAACAGGAGATCCCTGCTGCTCCTTTAAATAGTTCGTTATCGTTTGTGCTCCAGCAGACCGTCCCTCAACCAGCACCACCCTACGCAAAGCAGAACCGATTGTTTGTGCTTCGGTCGGAAGGGCAGACGGAGGGTGGGACGTGACCCAGCTGGATTCTTGTCCAGGCACCTTCCTCAGGAGGGGCCACAGGACTGAGCCTGCCTACCCCTTCCCCAGGCTTGCCCACATCCCCCCCCACAAGCAGCTGCTCCAGGAAGGGCACAGCCCGCGTTGGGGGGCGCACGTGGCCATGGGGTGTCTGCGGGGCCTCGCTCCGGGACGGGTCTGGCCTCCAGCCCCGGACCAGCCCTTTGGCACAGCAGTTCTCTGATCCCCAGGTTCTGTGGTTTCCTGCAATAACATCTGTGATTAAAACCTGGTGTTTTGCCTAGAAATAGCAGCTCCTTAGACCATAGCCAAGTCATGCAACGCTTTCAATAGATGTGACCGAAAACCTCCTGTGCCATCCCCACAGTCGCCCCAAACAGCGCTGCGGTCCTGGCAAAGGGCTGCGGAACGCACGCGAGATGAGTTCAGCGCTCGGCCATCCGCAGGAGATGAAGCCGCTCACGGGGCACCTCTAGGTCCCGTCCCACGGACACAGAATCTGGGGAAGAAAGCATTTGCCATGCAAAGCAAACCTGAATTCGGTCCAGCTGCCTTCCCATCTTATTACTGGGTCAGGGAATTAGCTTCCAAGTCACGAGGTGTGTAGGCACAGTTTACAAACAGAAAGGAGTTACTACAAAATTGATCTAAATGAGCCGTTACAGAGGAGTTTCTTAATAGGCCTAAAGGCAGGAGACGTAGACAAAAGACGTAAACAGGAGATGGCTCCCAGACAGAATTTAGCCCAGAGAGCTGGAATAGCGAGTTCATAGCTTCAGGATGCTGAGCACAGACAAGCTGCCTTGGGAAATACCCGGGGAAGCGAGGAAAAGAAACAAAAGCTAGACAGGACAGAGACTTACACAATATGTATTGTGCAGCTCAGAGTTAATTCCATTCGGGACCTTCCCAGAAAAAGTGCGTAAGCTTGCAGGGAACTTGCAACATCAAGAAGAAAGATAAGTTTTACATGCCTGATACTGAGAGGTCAAAGCCAAGTACAACACAAGTCTGCCCATGAAAATAATACACGCAAGGCACCCTGTGGTGTCAGACTCTTTCCTGTCAGCATCAGTTCATGTCTTACCACCATTTCTTACCAGCTATTTCAGCTTTGCCACATCTCTTCTTGCAGTGGTGTCGAGACAAGAATCAGGAATTGCAATAGCTTCCAGAAAGACATGAAAAACAGCAACCTGAGTGAGCAGCAAATTCACAGCATCCCTTGCCTGCCCTCCAGTTTACCATTTAAGGTGCTACAATAGATATCAAATTGAATTAGAATAGGGAAGTGATTGACAGAGGCCAGGCAAAGCGTACTCTCAGGGCTCAGGCTTTTAAGAACAAGCGTTTTCAGAATTCTGCAACAAGTGCAGTCAAACTGCATTATCACTACTTACGGACTATACAATGATCCCAGAGGAAAAGGATCCACTTCCCCCACTGAATTGGATGCACGGGCTTTAACTACTAGTCCTCAGAGTTAAAAAGAAACACAGCATCTCTAAGTTAATATTGCAGAACTTTATACTACACTTAGATTATACTTGGCAGGACACTGGCATAAGGTAGTGGCCAATGCAAATACAATTCTTAGAAACAACAGTTGAAATTAAAAAAGTTTATTTGAAGATTTGTAAAACAGCTCTGTGAAAGACCAACATTTCCAAGACACTACGATATGATAATGCATCTTCCTATTGTTAGAATATAAAAAAAGTCACAGTCCTTCAACTATCTAAATAAAAGCACACAGTTATGGACCACACATTTTACTTCCAACACCAAGAAAGTGAATGGGTTTGAAAGTCAGACTAATCAATAGCACCAACACTAGGTGATCACAACCCTCATGGGACTGAGGGTCTGTGTTTGTCATTACTATGCAATAAAGCAGATTAGTGAAGCAAATCTTAATGTGAAAACAGACCCACGAGCACTGGAGAGTTCATACAATGAAATATCATAATGCATTCTTTACATTCCATTGATGCAAACAACAGTAGCAAGCCAGAAACACCAAAGAGTTCCCGTGAAACTCCAAGCTTCCATTTCGGGACAAGAAATCTTCAGAACTTACAAATGCCAGTTCCATTTCAAACACACTAACTTTATTCACTTTGTGTTTACATAATTTGTGCAATAGAGACATGTGCAATAGAAAGATGAAGAACAAGATGCAGAAGTGGACAGTACTACAAGGATCCAATATCACTTCATGGTAAAGCAGCACGGTATTATACTGCTTTCCGGTGATACTCGGGAGGGGCTACTTCATAGTCACTGGCGCTAAACAACGCAGAGGAATTCTTTGCTAAATACCTATGAAAAATAATTAAAAGATTAAATTACCTTCTTGCCTCAAGTCTCCATTGTTTAGCATCATGCGAGCAAGTTGTTAGGTGTGTGCTGAGACCATAAAACATGATTTCAAGTGCAGAAAACCAACGTGTATCTACTAAAAAGTCAGTTGTGTAAAGCAATTAAAGATTTGACAGCTCATGCCAAAAATCAATTCCAAACAGGAACTGTCAAGCAACTCTGGCTCCAAGCAAGCACCGGGAGGTTAACAGGATGAAACAGTTTACATTTGAGGGTCAGTCAGCTGCTGTACCAAGAATCGATTTACTACTGATCGTACTCTGAGGGAAGAGACAAAGGGTAGGACACCATGAAGTTCTGTCTGCACAGATATGGAACTTAATGGTGAAATCCACGATGGCTAGAGCAAAGCGAGCAATGCCAACTGAGTGCGACAGCAGAAGGTAAGCATTATACGCCATTACTTCTCAGAGAGATTCAGGGATTTCTGGTCATCGCACTGGCTTCACATTTCTCTCTTTACAGCTGAAAGCTCTTTAGCACTTGCATTTACTTCAGACTTATGCAAAAGACCATGATCAACTCAAGACTCTGCCTGTTCCAAGGCAAGTTTGCCCTGGAAATCAGGCTGATCCATTTCTAGTTCTACTAAAGAGCTGTCATGGATTTGTCAAGGGTTTTCTTCCTACTTCCAATAGCTTATCCAATCACACAGAACTAAAACCTGGTATTTACTGGCCAAACAGCTTAATGCTTTGTTACTCTAGTTATTTACACATCAGTATTTCCAAACACTATCAGTAGACCACTAAAGCCTTGAATGAAAATACACAGAATGTTTCTCCATAACAATGAAACAGAAGTTTACAGCTGGAGTATGTTTGATGAAGAGTATCTGCCAGTACAGCAAAAGCAAAAAGCTGCACCAACGCAGTGAGGTGGCGTACAGCCCAACGGTTTCACACCATGCACCTGTCCCTACATACATCTATAAATAAATTGCAGAAGCATCATACTAAGTTCCTCCAGTGCGGTACAGATGCACCAGGCTTGTATTATTATTTAGGATGGGGTTTTCATCCCAGATATAACACGTCTACAGCACCACAGGGTACTGCAGCGCACTAAAGCTACAATGACAGCCTGTCCCAGAATTAACATTAGTAAGGTTCACCAGCTTAACATTTACTCAGTTATTGAGTAACTGTTGTTTGTTTGCTATAATTGTCATCTGGTTTTTATAGCAACTACAAATAAATGCTTCAATGTTTATTTTGAAACAAGTAGCAGACTTGGCCAGTTTAAAAGTGCAGACTAATAGATATGCAAACACACGTCTAACTAGCAATAACCTCAGTATAACTGGAGAGAAGTTAGAACCAGTCTTACTCATGTTACTGTACAGCAGAGTTTGAGAAAGCTTCACACACAGGCCCAAGATAATAATATATATTATGTGCTATACAACAATTGTTTACTGAAAAGAAGCCACATTACAACAGCCTGTGCTTACTGAACTTTTTCTTTCTTGCTGAAAGACTTAAGGAGCACTTACTTTAAGAAGTCATGCAAGTAGTTTAACAGCAAAGCCAGACTCTTCTCATCCAGAGGAGTGTAAGCAAGCATAGCTCCAATTCGGACTGTTTCAAAAGAAGTAGCACTTGTTAGTTATAAACAACATCTCTAACAAGTATTTCAGTACAGGCTAAAACCTTACAGTAGCATATAAAAGCAGCCTAGGAATCCATTCCAATATACACAAGCTCACCTAAAATAACTAGACTGTTGAAAAATCCATTTCCATTTCAAACCCTTGAATGGCTCTGCATATTTTAGGTACATGGAGTAAGGAAAGAATAAACCACCTTTCATAGCTGCTTGTCAAACTTCTGCAGTTCACACCCACTGACACTCAAGACAAGAAAAGGAAGCATTTCAAAACTACTACTCTTCAAATCTCTAGAGGTCATACTCACCAAATAACCTCAGTAGGTGTGGGGCACCGTAGACTTGAGACATTGGAGCATCTGGGTGATCTGCTAGGATTTCAGCATATTGGGGCCTCTCAAACTTGTACAGTAGTTGAGTTCCCAGCATGACATTGAAGTATTCTTTAATTCCAGCCACAACTTCATTGACTGCATACTCCCTGGTAACAGAGAAAACACTGCAAGTCTTGTTCTAGTGACTGGATGGACACAAGATGAGAGTTGGCTTGGCGAGTCCATCAAAATTGTAAAGATCTTTGACAAGCCTTCAGATTTTCCAAGGAAATTTGTCTGGAGACCTTAATATATACAGCTGCGGGGAGTGATTCATTTCAAGACCTCCTTTAAAACTGGACTGTTCTGAACTCAGTGAGAATTTGGGCAAAGCAAGCAAAGCCTTGCTTTTAGCCATCCACTCACTTCAAGAAGTTAACTCCCAGAGCAGTCCTCTCAAAGCAACAGTACGTATTCATAAGGACACTTACCAGCTCTTCTGTTTTCAACCAAAGTTAATCCCATTCACACATCAGTTTGAAACTACAATACTACAAATAATTTGACTGAACTCCTGCTTCGCAGAAGGGGGCAGGCACCCAATATTTCAGGCAACTGACCCTTTCTCTCGAGGCCTCTCAATACCGTAACTCCTGCAGGCCTCCAACTTCACAACTAATTGAAGAGTAACTGTGTAGGAATTAGCAGTGACACTGCAAATCTGCCAAGTATTACCCTCACTCCACCCCACAAACAAATTTAGAACAGACATTAGGACAATTACATAAAAGAACTTTAAAACACCCTGACAAGTCAATAATATGCTTCCTCTTGAATGGAAGAAAATAGCTTCACATTTCTAGTTTCTCTCCCTTTAAAACAGGAAAGCTTCCTTCAAGAATAAACACACCTTGTTTGTTGTCAGGGCTGGACTGCTGGGGTAATTACAAGTAAGAATCTTCAGAGCTATCACACCTCAAGGTAATCAACTCTGCCCATCTGAGTCTGTTAAAAGTCATCGTCTACCTCCCTGTCCCCCACCCCTCTACTTCCACGAGCACCCACCCATACAGCAACACTCGGCTCATCTGCTAGGCAGTTTGGGGGTAGTTTGTTCAGCTCACACATAGCAAGTGCCAAGGACTTTATCCACCCAACCTCAGAAGCCTGAGCTAGAACGAGGGGGTGGAGAACTAGTCACTTGGCTTCTATGAGCCTCCTTTAGAAGAAAGCTTAGGGAAGGTGGAGGAAGCAGAAATAGTGTCCAGAAAGCAGAACTGCACTCTTGTATTACCTCCTCAGACATGTCTAAACTCCTTGATCACCTGGGTTTTGAACATGAAGCTGGACATAGGGCTGGGACACGTTTAACAACCTTACTCAGTTTTCCATGAAATACAAGTCCAACAACAGCAAAATTAGTGTTTGAAGTGACCACTACTTACTTGTTATCAGTATTTCCTCGTGATTTTTTGTAGTTTGCATAATCCTCTAAAATGGAGTCAACATTCTTCTTGGCAGGAAGATAGAAGAGCTACAAAAGAAATAAAACTGAACAAATACAAGTTGTCTATTTTATGCAGACATCTATATCTGCATGCTAAATTTAAACTAATGTACATAAGGACATTTCTAGAATAAATTAACAGGTTAAGATGTTAAGTGTTATTAAAGAAACAACCAACTGTTTTAGTTGTGCATACCAAAAAACCCTGTAACAGCCGCTATACCCATGTTTCCATTTAATACCTGTGCTGCTCAGCCGCAGCCCGATGATGAACTGCTGGAGTCACCCCAAGAGTCAAAGGTACGCAGCAAAGCGCACACACGCCCCTACAGACCTGCCTACAGCAGACCACGCAGCAGCTACAACAGCAACGGTGACCATTTGGCTATTCTTCTGTCTGCTGCTCTTCTTGCATCCGCAGCTCAGCACCTGGCACTACTATCGCTGCAAAGCAAATAAGCCTGCCGAGCACCCACTGGGAAGTTTCACTGCACACGCAGTCTGAAGAGTATCACAGCTACATCACAGCTTACAGATTTGAAGATGAATATTCCCAGCCACAGTTCACCAAGGATTAACTTACATCTTTAATACCATACACATATCATCTGTACACACGGACACTGGTTCAGTCATGTACGGCAAGGCTCAGGAATACAGCCGATTCCTGGGTTTTTGAGGCACGGCCCCCAGTTCACTTCTCTCCTTTCACGAGAGCACTACAGCCTGAAGACATTTGGGAAAGCAAGTCTCCAGGACTGGAGTCAGCATAACACGCAGTGGTTTTACGCACTTTTACTGCTGATGCAACTTGACAATTCGTATTCGCCAAGAAAAGTCAACCTTATCCACTAGGACTTGAACAAGATTTTTATATGTCTGCATGTCTACAAATGCAAGAACAGAGACAGTACCCTGGCGTAGCAGTAAGTTACAGCATGCAGTTGCAGCCTATCAAACAATAACAGTTTTCAACAGCATTATTTTCTATGCTTCTTGCCAATTTTAGTAGCAGTTTCATACAAGAAACAAGTTACGATCCATTAAAATGTTTTAAGCTCATGAAAGGGTTTTATATTTTTAAAATGGAAGTAAAGTTTAATTTACTGTATGAGGAAGCTTTATATGGAACCAGCCTGGCAGAAGTTAAGAATCATTGTCCTAAGCGACAGCATTCTGTCAGAGCTGTAGAACAACCTAAGCTACTCACAGAACTTGGTGGTGACACCTAAACAAGGCAGGAAGTAGCTGAGATAAAATAGACAGCATCTGCCACATTCCTACAGACCAGTTATCTACCAACTAAGTAAACTGTGAAAGCACACCAGCAGGCCGAGCATGCATAGTTAACACCACACTTAAAGCTTAAGTTTTTTTTAAATTATTTGCCTTTCTAGCTTATGCTTGATTAGACCAAGTCTATTCTACGAGTTTACTTGCAACTCTGCTGAGCCACAGTCCCACTCACAGGTGACCTTTGGTTAAAATCCAACCGGAATGACAACTGTCAAGTAAGCCATCAAGCTGGTGTCAGACTCTACAAGAGATTTTGCTACACTGCACTTGAAGAGGATATGAAATTCTAGTTTGAGTGTCCTTGCCTATATATGGCCAGATTGTTCTTTTGACAAATTACCTGCTTCTGCCTGGTGATCAAGTCCCAGTCATCTACCAGCCATGGTTTCAGCTCTTCTGGGATTTTCACCTTTACTTCAACTCTGTTCATAAATGTTTCTTCCTGAAAAAAGTGAAGCCAGATCAGTTTCTTCCAGATAACTGTCCAAGCTGAGTCCCCATTTTCCTTGTTTTCACAACTGAAATACACCACAGTAATTACTGTAGGCTCCACAGGGAAAAAGGAAATTGGGTTGAGAGCAGCCCTGAAGAGAAGGACTTGGGGGTGCTGGGGGATGAGAAGCTCAACATGAGCCAGCAGTGTGCGCTGGCAGCCCAGAAAGCCAACTATGTCCTGGGCTGCATCCCCAGCAGCGTGACCAGCAGGTTGGGGGGAGAGGGGATTCTGCCTCTCGTGAGACCCCCCTGCAGTACTGCATCCAGCTCAGGGGTCCCCAGCACAAGAAGGACATGGAGCTGTTGTGGAGTGAGTCCAGAGGAGGCCACGGATATGCTCAGGGGGCTGGAGCACCTCTGCTATGGAGACAGGCTGAGAGAGTTGGGCTGGTTCAGCCTGGAGAAGAGAAGGCTCTGGGGAGACCTTACAGCACCTTCTAGTACCCAAAGGGGCTCCAGGAAAGCTGGAGAGGGGCTGGTGACAAGGGCAGGGAGGGACAGGCCAAGGGGAATGGCCTGAAGCTGCAGGAGGGGAGATGGAGATGAGATCTGAGGCAGAAATCCTTCCCTGTGAGG